TGTTTTTTGTTTTTTAAGAGACAGGGTCTCACTCTGTCACCCAGGATAGAATGCTAGAGTGCAATGGCATGATCATAGCTCACTACAGCCTCTGCAGCCTCCAATTTCTGGGCTGAAGTGATCCTCCTGCCTCAGCCTCTGAAGTTACTGGGACTATAGACATGCACAACCATGACCAGCTGGGCTTTTTATAGAAGAAGTTTTCTGACCCCTGATCTAGTGGATTGTTGAACTCTGTTTTCCCATCACAGCAATCCACTCGTTTTTTATAAACGGCCTTAGACAAAGATTTTTGGGTTGAAAGGAGAGAATCCACTTAAATGAGCTGAAGGAAAAAGGGGGGTTATGATAAAATATGTCCCCATGCAGGGGTAGGGAACCTCCAGCCTTGAGGCCACATGTGGCCCTCCAGATCCCCAAGGGCGGCCCCTCGGCCAAATCCAAACTTCACAGAACAAATCTCTTTATTAAAAGGATTTGTTCTGTAAAATTTGGATTCAGTAAAAAGGCCGCACTCAAGGATCCAGAAGGCCACATGTGGCATAGAATCCATGGACAGGAAATTAAATACAGGCATTACTCCTAAAATATGATTTTGTGCCCTACAAATTGGCCATAACTCACTTCTATTAATTAAAGAACATAATCGATATTACTAAGGTCGCCATTGGTTATAACAAGATCTTGACCAAGAACTAATAATATGTCTAGAATACAAGAAAAACTGTTGCCTGAGCAATGCAGGGGCTTTGTTTGAGTAGCTCTGACTGTGTTTGTCCTAACAATGAGTGACAATAATGATAAAGGAAGTAAGAATATGTAAACTATCATGAGTTGGTGGCAGGAAAGGAAAAAAGGGACAAGATTTTTAAGCAAAAGCTGGAAGTTATCAAATGGTGGATTTGATCTGTGATGTTTAGATTTTATTCTTTGGCTATAAAAAGGATTCTTATTATTGAAATTATTACAGAAAAAAACCTTCTTTTGGGAGGAATCTGAAACACTTCAGCTCCCATTTCCTTTACCTTCTTAAAACAATAATTTTTAAAAACCAGTTTTTAAAAATATGAGGTTTCTGAGGAATGCAGACTTTAGTGTCCAGTGAGACCTCCCAAGAAGCGGGACTGGGTCAGAACCCAAGGTCACCGGCAGTGCTCCAGCAGCAGTACAGGGCCCCTGGGGCTTCTGTCGCTCTGCTTTTCTCTTCCTCCTCTCTCTTGCCTGGCTTCCTCTCTGTAAACCTCAACAACCTGGACTCCTCAGAGCCTGCCATCACCAGAAAATAGTTCTAAAATCTCTTAGTACAAATGCTTAACCTGACCGGCTTAACCCATTTTATAGTTTGATACTTTTAGCAGAGGCTGCTAAAACATTGATCTTTGCATTGCCACCAAACCAAGAGACTATGTTCCTAGCTTCCCTTGAATCTCAGTGTAACCCTGATACTAAATCCCATGCAGTGAAATATAAACAAAAATGTTGTGTGAGTCTTCTGGGAAGTTTCTGGGGTGTGGATGTGATGATGTGATGGCTGGAGCTCTGACTGCCATCTTGGTCCTGAGCACAAGGCCCATATCCTTGAGATAGCAGAGTGTGAGTAGGAAGGAGCCTATGTTACTCATGGCCATTGGAGACCCCACACCAGCCCTAAACTGCCTGTATCTAGGCTTATTTTATGTGAGAGAAATATATGCCCACCTGGTTTAAGCAAATATTTGGTGGTGGGGGGGGGCAACTGAACCTAAACTTAACTGATAATTTCCTCTGACCCAATAAGCTGTGACCAGATAGACAAGGTGTGGGGGATACTGCCCACTAGTGAGTCCCTCAGGTCTGAGCAGATTTCCCAGGAAAGGCAGCCTGGACAGAGCAGGCAGACCATTTGGCCTATCAACATGCTGAGTAATATTGCCAGACGACTTGGATCTGTACAGAAGGGAAAATACTAGGACAAACGAAAAGTTTGGACATGGACTGATGCCACAGAACATGCACCAGGGTAAAAATTACAATTCAAGGGGAACAGACTCTGGGAGGTGGAATTGTGGGTAGCATGGCTGCAGGCCAGGTAGGCAGGTGCCCTGAGCAGATGGAAGTCAATTGTTCTGCTAATAATTGAAGAAACATTGCTTATATTTTTGAGGGATCTGGTTAACTCATTTCCTTTGGTGACTTAGGGCTGTGATTTATAGGCAGCAAAGTCACTTAGAATAATAAAGCTCCCAGGGCTGGTGGCAAACTGGTAAGATTTTTCAAGAAGAAAAGAGACCACTTAACATCTTAATGGGCTTTTCTTGAGTAAATGAAATCCTGAGGAAACAGGTTTCAAATGTGTCTCCATCATTCACATCTTCAAGGAGAAAGATGAGAGAAATCAAGAAAAAAAAGACTACAAGCGATACATTCATTTCAAATATTTGACAAGGTATGAGAGTCCTAGAAAAGGTTTCCAAGAACTACAACTCCCAGCAGACAGAGGTCCCACCCTCCTTTTGTTCCTTCTCTCCAAAAGCTTTTAATTGATTGAGAAAAACTGGTTTGAATATCAGTTGATTTGAATGCATCTATTCCATAAAAGGAAGCATATATGTCATTTTTTAAAATAGCTTTTCCTTTGTGCAGTTGTGTCCAACTGGGCTATGGCCTTTCTGTTTAACTTCTTTTCTACCTAAGCAAATATCCTGAAAGTTAAAAAAAAATCCTAAAAGTTTGTGCATAAACTTTGCTGAGGCAGCACTGTGTAGGCAACGCCAGGGCCTCCAAGCAGCCTTGTTCCTCTGGGTCACAGGCACAGCAGGCACAAACCCAGCCACCTTTGTGTCAGACACTTGAAAGCTGGGATTGGAGAAGGGCATCAGTTGTTCTCCATGTTCAGAAAAAAATAAAAGATGTTCTGAAATAGAAAACAAGGAAGAAAAAACGGAAAAGTCTGTTCTCGGGCGGTAGCACAGATCACTGGGGAGAACCTCAACTTATATAAACATAAAGTCTTTGTGGAAATAAACAAAGACCAGCTGTGATGGTTAATTTTATGTGTCAACTCTCCCGGGCCCAAATAGCCGGCAAAACATCATTTCTGGGTGTGTCTATGAGGGCATCTCTGGAAGAGATAGGCATTTGAGTCAATAAAGTGAGTAAAGATTGTCCTTACCAGTGTGGGCAGGCATCATCCAGTCTATAGAGGGCCTGAATAGAACAAGAAGGTGAGGAAGGACAAGTGTGCCCTCTGCCTGAGCTGGGACGGCCATCTTCTCCCGCCCTTGGACATCGGCACTCCTGCCCTTCGACTCGGACTGGGACTTACTCCATTGGCTCCTCTGCTTCTCAGTCCTCCGGGTTTTGACTAAAACCACACGATGGCCTTTTCGGACCTCCAGCTTGCAGACAGCAGATTGTGGGACTTCTCAGCCTCCATAATCATGTGAGCCAACGCCTCATAATAAATCCTTTTCTATGTATCTATCTACATCCTCTTGATTTTGTTTCTCTGGACAACCCTGACTAATACACCAACCAAATTAGAACAACAAAGGCTATGTCTTTAGATTTTGCTATAGCAAAGGAGTCAGCTACCATCGCTTGTGTTTGGCAGAGACTCAAAGGTAGGCAGAGGAGTGTGAGAGCTTTGTAGTAGAAAAAAAGAGAAGATGTCAGAGATGCCCTGACTGGAGACTGTCGGCGTGTGAGGATGCAGCTGGGTTAACGAGAAGCAGGGCACCCTATGTGATTGTCAGGGGTGCGTATTTTGCTTTCTCTGGTTGATCCTAAGTTAGAAGTGGGGACAAAAATTAGGGGAGTTGTCAGTTATTAATCAAATCTGGCCATTTTGTGCCAATTGTTACAGAAGTTATTGTTTAGCTTTCTGGATTATTACTAGGGATGAAAATCTGGCTTCCTGCAAGGCTGACGTAGAGCAGGCTGGCTTCCTGTGTTGTAGAAAAGGGGATTGGTTTTGGTGGACAGGTTGCCGCAGGTTGTGAGTCAGAGTTCTATTTTTGTATGGTCTGGACTTTGTCCATTTGTATATTCAGTCTCTCATCTTTCAGACAATGACAGACAGCTATCTCTGGGCAGCTGACCTATATAGGCAGCAAGGTGATTCCCAGCTTTTCTAGGGAGCCACTTTGGGAGACAGCTAATTCCTATAGGCCACCTTGCCCAGAAGTGCCTAAGGACACACCTGCTTCAGTGAGCATATCCCTCTTAGCTCAGTGCACCAAGATGGCAAAGAAGGAAGGAAAGGATTGTAGTTATACTAGCAGGGGAGCCCTGCGAGGAGAGAAGGGAAACAATGTTCTGTGGTTCTCATCCCTGGTTGTCAGTTAGAACCCTGTGGACAGCTTTGAGCAAATACTGATGCCGTAGTTGTATGCCACCCACAAAGAATCTAATTTCATAAAGCAGGGCTGGACATCAATATTGTTTCAGAACTTCCCAGGTGATTCTAAGGTACAGCCCGGATTGGCAGATACTGACCAAAATAAATAATCTTTGAGAAACACTGGGAGCAAACATTTAGCAATTAGTGAAAATGAAATCGGGGCATGCAGCCATGACCACTTTTTCAAGCAGCCTCCAGTCTTGCAGTCTTGTAGTGCTGAATTTTAGAAACACAAAATGCAGCGTGAAGTTAAACTAGGGTAGCAAATAGGCAAAGGTCTTACCGTGTGAGCCTCCACACACAAAATAAAAATGCAGCAGCACACGGAACAAAGGAGTACACTGAAAACCACTGCGAAATGACTGAAATCCTACCTATTCCGAGCAGTGCCCTTCCTTTTTATTTTTAACTATTAAAAATTTTGTTTCCCCCCCTTTGAAATGCCATTTTATCATAACATATTATTTCTCATGGATTATGTGAGATGCATATGTGTGTTTTCAGTCTATCTAAACTTATACATTTCACAAATTCTTTAAACAGAATTCAGAATCATTGCATTTTGGGCATATAAACGCCAAAGCCTCAAAAGAATCACACACGCTCTGCACAACTGGTATCCATTTTTTATTTCTAGTCATTTCTAAATATTTGCGTGTACCAATTTATCTGAATTTGATGCAACACCACCCCCTAGTGGAAATCTACAGAAAAGCTCCCATATTTGATTTAACTTGAGAATTTTAATACTGTGGAGAGTGACAAAGATCATCCAACACGCTGACATGCTTCTCTCACTCTCTACCGGCAGAATGTTCTCTTTAAACAAGATCATATGCTAACGCTCAATGAACAAAAATGCTTAGGCAAAGTCGACTACACAGCAAGCCAGCTCGCAGTCATTTGTGGTAACGAAACGTACAACACTTAGGTGATTGACTCCAGGCAGCTACTGACTGATGCCACATCCCTAAGCAACTTCATCTCTGTCTTCTACCATCATTACCAGCTGAGGGGAGGAAAAGGTTGCCACTAGTGCTAGCAATCTTCATACTTTGTCTTCAAATAAATGTAACAAGTCTGCATTTTGTGATCACCATGTATTTAGAGGGATAATAATGCTCACTATAACCTAAGAGGATCTGCAATTGACAGTGATTTTTCCATACATTATCTGTTTCTGTGGATTTATGAGCCAAAAAATGTCAAAATCCCTAGAGCTTCCAGCATTCATATAAATTAGCATAGGTCCTCGGACATCAGATCTAAAAGAAATCTTACTCTATAACAAGTATTTTTAACAACAAAACAGGAGCTTTATGCCCTGTGTCATTAGTACTAGACTTCCTAAGTCTACCTGTTGCATTTTCTGATTTTGAAAACAAAGAAATGTCTAGTTAAACTTTCACGCAATGAAAGTTATTTGAACATGTTCTGATGTTTAAATTATGCTTTGATCAATAGTCTCCAGTGCCATTTGCTGCCATTTCATGACATCTACAGCTTTGGCTTGGGAGTGGGGGTCCTGAGGGCGTGCACACACTCACTCACCAGCCTGGCAGCCTCCAGGGCAGTGCCCCAGTGCACCGAGAAGCCCCCAGCCCCGTGGCCGTAGTGGTGGACCACAGGTAGCCTCTGGCCGTCTCGGGCTAGGAGCTCTTTCTGCAGCCGCACGCCTGGCCTGGAGGGTCTCAAGCCCACCTTCTCCTTTATGTCGCAGGCTCCACGGAGGGAGGGTTCCAGAGCACAACATCGGGAAAAAATATCTCTGCTAATTTCTGCATCTGGGGACAGATTCCAGTCTCCTTTTTGCCTAGTTCCACCCAGGGTTACATGCGATACACCAGGATAAATATACGTCAGCCCACTCCCATCTCGGATGAAATGCTTCACCCAGGGGGCCTGAACTTTGAGCACTTGGCCCCTTACGGGGAAAATCTTCGAGTCTCCTGCAAGCCGCCTGCTTCCAAGGCCTGTACAGTTGACCACGATGTCGAAGGACGGATGAAGCTCCCACAGGTCTTCTACGCGTCGGGTGAGTATCTGCCCTCCACTTCCTTTCACCCTGGGGAGGAAAGACCATGCGGTGAGCCGCAGTTGCCTTCCGCTCAGCTACTTCCAGGAAGTGAAGAACAGGAACACGGGAACAAAAATGAGGCGACGACCTGCTGAATAAACCTCGAAAACCCTTCCAGGGCCAGACTCCAGCCACCAGCTGCCTTCCAGCCTTGGGGACTGGGGGTTCCTATAGTTGAACCGAAATGAAAACCTATTTTGAAAATTCAAAACAAAGGAAATTATACTCGTATGTCTTGCCCTTTTTAAGTTTTGTAGAATTCCTATAGCATTCTAGATGCTAAATAAATACCAAGTTGATCTGGTATTTTAAGCAAGCATTTCTTGTTTATATCATTTATTTAACACCCAAATCTACTGCCTTGGACGTTTTGTCTCATGTTGTTAGTTCCTGCATGTTCCCTTGCATTAGTCTGGTCTCCCCGACTAAATGGTTGGTCTGGGGTCCCATGCCCCCCTCCCTATGGTGATGTTAGCATGAGAACACAACATATTTGCAGCCAATAGACTAAATGACAATTGTAACTGGTAATTATTTTTGGACCAAATATATCAATAATGAAAAGAGATGGCTTATCCAGGTGCTATAATCCTTTAAAAAAACTGTGGTAAAATACACATAACATACAATTTGACCATTTTGACCATCTTGAAGTGTACAGTCCAATGGCATTAAGCACATTCACATTGTTGTACAACTATCACCACCATCCATCCCCAGAACTTTTTTAATCTTACAAAATGGAAACCCTGTACCCATTAAACAATAACCCCCAGGTCGTGTATTCTTATTGATAGATTTAATATGAATTTAATATGATCAAGTATGAGTTTAAGAAGATCTAATGTGAGAAAGAGGCTCTCAGCAGCTCTGTTCCACAGATGCGGGTTGAACGCGTGGCTGCAAGGCGCTGCTCAGAGGGACCAAAAAGGTGTGAGTCTCTGGGCCCTTCCTCAAGGGCTGACAAAGGCGCTGGCGGAGAGGTATGGCAGAGTGAAGTTCTATTAATAAACGAGAGGCGATGTAGGATCAGAAAGGTCAGGGATTAGGTCCCAGTTCTGTCTCACATTAGCTTTGAGCTCTTGGCCAACTCACCTCGCTACTCTGATTCGCAGTTTCCTCATCTGCGTCAGGGGAATGACACCTCCCTTGCCTGCCTCAGGGGAGGGCTGTGAGGTTCCAATAAGGTAATGGCCACTACTTTGAAAGCTATTAAGCACACTGAATTTTAGGGGACTGATATCAATGAATCATAAATTCCTCAGGGGAGGAGACTACATCTTATGCTTCTTACTGCCCTTGTGACCCAGCTCAGGGCCCATTACCAAGTGGGCTTGAAGGAAATGTTAGCCAATACCGAAGACAATGTGAAATCCTCCTTTGGGCTTGTGATGGTTAATTTTATGTGTCAATTTGACTGGGCCAATGGGGTGCCCAAATATTTGTTCAAACATTATTCTGGGTGTTCTGTGAGGGTGTTTTTGAATGAGGATCAACATTTAAATCAGTAGACTGAGTATAAAGGAGATTGCCCTCCCTAATGTGGGTGCGTCTTGTCCAATCGGTAAATGTCTGAATAGAACAAAAGGCTGCCCTCCTCCAAGTGAGAGCGAATTCCTGCTGCTGGACTGCCTTCCCACTGGGACATGGGCTTCTTCCTGCTGCTGGACTGGAACTAAAGCGTTGGCTCCTCCTGGGTGTCAAGCCTGCTGGCCTTTGGACTGGAGCTACACCATTGGCTGTCCTGCGTCGCCAACTTGCTTGTCAACTCATCCTGCAAATCTTGGGTCTTGCCAGCCTCCATAACTGTGTGAGCCAATTCCTTGTTTATACACACACACACACACACACACACACACACACACACACACATCCTACTTGTTCTGTTTCTCTGGAGAACCCTGACAAATACGGGGTGGCACCACATTGGCATCCTCTCTCCCTGACTGCTGCAATCCCAGCCTACTTCGGGGAGAAACTGGGAAGGGCCGACATGGGAAATGGAGGTAGAGTGCTTGTACCCTACCTGCCCCTGAGAGAGCAGACGTGATCATGCCAGCATTTCTGAGCTCCATCTGCCTTCAAGGCCAGATACACAAAAGTTTAATGTGAAGGAAAACTTAAGAAAAGGCAGAAACTTCCAGAGCACAAATAAGAGGTGGCTGAGAAGGTGGTAAATGATGGCATGGTTTGACAACTGATTTTTTTTTTTTTTTTTTTTTTGAGACAGAGACTCACTCTGTTGCCCAGGCTAGAGTGCCGTGGTGTCAGCCTAGCTCACAGCAACCTCAAACTCCTGGGCTCAAGCCATCCTCCTGCCTCAGCCTCCCAAGGAGCTGGGACTATAGGCACATGCCACCACGCTGGGCTAATTTTTCTATTTTTAGTAGAGACGGGGGTCTAACTCTCACTCAGGCTGGTCTCGAACTCCTGACCTCAAGTGATTCTCTCGCCTCCGCCTCCCAGAGTGCTAGGACTACAGGTGTGAGCCACCACACCCAGCTGACAACTGATTTTAACGTAATAAGGAGGGACCTCACTTCCTGGTTGGAAAGTTCAATTGAAACTTGTATCAAGATCAGCAGGAAACTGGCCTTTTGACACTGGGTCCCATTTTTAGAAAATACTTCAAGTTGATGAGAGTGGAAGAGACCAACATTGCTGCTCAACTGCAGAGAGCCTGACCCCAATAGCTCAGTTTCCTATTACGTAAAACAACAGCCTTGAGCGATCGCCACCGCTTTCCAACTTCTCTGCATCTGACTGAGGGGGAAGCTGCTGCACTGGGCTCCATCTCCTCAGATTCATTTATTATTAAACAAATATTTGCTGGGGGCCTGTGCTGTGCCAAGCACTGAACTAGGGAAGAAGAGCTCAAAGGCTGCCTCTTGCTCTAAGATTACGTGAACCCGTAGTGTGCTTCCTGTTAAATACAAGCTGTATGTCCAGCATCAATGCTCCAAACAACGGAGCTTAAATCCTAAGCGCTGGCATTTCTACTCTATGCATACTTTCTTGTTATTCTGAAAATCCATGGAAGACAGTATGTTTTTTGTTTGAGAGAAGGAAACCAAAGGAAAAAATCTGGCAAACATTCATACTTTAGGGCCACAGAAAACCAATAAAGCCAATGGATTACTTTCTGGTGTAACTAAAAGTGCTTAAAAGAGGGAGAATAAGGCTGGAGCTGTTTTGTTTGTTTGTTTTCTAAGTAAAAAGCTCATACATGAAAGTATTTAATGTAGCAAATTTTATGGTCACACGTTTTCAGCTCTCTCAGTAGAATAAACAATTTGGAAGCTTAAATTATGTGTTTTAAACATACAATAATAGATGAATGTTTTTAAAGGTAAAATAACTCTATAAAGTTTTGTTTCCCCCTTACACTGGCATAGAAAGAAGAGTATGTTGGAATTTTGTGTGATACTGACAACACCTTGTAGTGTGTTTATAATCTCTAAAAAAGAGAACACAAAGAAAAGAGGTTTTAAAAGGGTTTAGGAGCGCTCTACCCTTTACCATCCATATGATCCTGATCACCTTATTCAACTTCTCTAAGCTTTAATCCTTCAATCCATAATACGGGGATAATAATACCGATTTCATAGGCTCATCGTGAAAATAAAATGAGGCAACATCTGGAAAAAGTCTGACATAGTGCAGGGCACATTACAGTTGCTCAATAAAGATTTTTTATAAGAAAAATTAAAAGGTTTAGGGATTTGTTATGCTACTGTAGAATATAAGACCTTCATCTATGAGTATTCCTGCCCTCCACACCCGTACACCACTTATATTTAATTAAGAATGATGTTTCAATTAAAAACATTTTTTAAATTAATCATTATTTGAACATTATCTTGGTTTTGCTTTTCTTTTAATAGTTTGTGGATTCCATGTTGATTGTGATTCCATGTTCTAATATTTGAGTAGTAGATTCTATGCTCCAGCCATCCTAATTAAAACCCAGAATTATTTTCCTAATTCAGGGAAATAAGAGAACTTACAAACCTTGGGATTTAAGCAAATTTCTCAAACTCACTGAACTTGTTTCTTCAACTATAAGCCAGGGATGAGAATGCCTAACTCACAGGATTATTAGGACAGTTATGTAGGAATTCAATAAATGGAAATGTCTTTCTTTTCCATTTCAAGGGTCCCCTGTCATACAAGCTACTGATGAAAGTCCAACCTGTACCTGGAGACTTCCTAAATTATCAGAGCGGCTGGGCTGTTGGAAGGCCCTGTCAGGCCTACCGTGCTGGGTCCCTCCCAGGCCTTGTTCCCTAAGAGGAAACTTACTACATATGCCCAGAGACTGGGCAGCTTTATGCTGTTGCAATGCAAATAGTGATTCCCAGTCATTAGTATACACCCCATGGGCAATGCATCAAGATGACATCGGTGCATAGGAGGAAACCGTATCCAGAAGTTAGATGTTAAGTTAGGTGACCAGGTGCCTACAATGCTGCTTTTATGACTGTATGACATAGTTGTTCTGGAAGTTTGGGGGGACATGATTAGGGGTATAAGAAGCTTGATGACTTTCCTTTTGGGGCTTCCTACAACTGAGCAAGACCTCATCCTGGAGAGAAAGAATACCATTGTCCCAATTTCCCATAAGAAAATAGGGGACAGGGGGCTCTCAAGAAACTGGGCTCACTAAATAGCCCCAGCCCAATGTCCTCTGGTCCTCACCCTAAAACATGAGTGCCCATTTTCACTAAGCCGAAGACAGCCCTCTTCTGGACTACGTCAGCCCGACCCATAAACATGGGGGACTGTCATCTTTGGGGCCCTTCTTTCAACTCAATGGGAATTTCGGCAAGGAGGGAAATTGAGCTGGCTGTGTCCCTGAGAAGGATGGGGGTCCACTAAGCACTTCTTTACACGTACATACCTCCTTCCCCCCCGCCATCTCCCACGAGCAAAGAGGAGTCCCTTCATCCCCTCTCTGTTATTGGGATTAGAGGCAATTCCCACACCCC